GCAGCAGCAGCAGCAGCAGCAGCAGCGCACGTCGGATCGGCCGTTTTCACCATCCGTCTGACCCTCTCCTCATCCTCATCCTCATCCTCATCCTCCATCTGGCCGCATCTTTAACCTGCCCTGACCCGCTCCATCGGCATCCACGATCTTGCAGAAGAGCACGACACCGGCTTTCGCAACGCAGCGCAACGCAACCCACTCGAACCTCGGACGACGCGGCAGCAAACACTTCATATCCCTCGCAACCCGCACGTCCCTCTCTCCACATCATTCGATCCCCCCCGAACGAATCTGGCCCATCATGTCTGGCGAAGGTACGCACATATCAACCAAACTTCATCGGCTAGCGTGGCCTGCCGTTCCGCTGCCGACCACGCCGCCCCTCCGCATGAGCGCACCACTCACATCAGCACCTTGTCCGTTTGCTTTTTGGTTTCATCATACGACCCGCTCTCGGTGACCATGCCACGCTCCTCTCGATGAACCGCCTCCAACACCTCAGGTTGGCTCTTCCTCTTGTCGGTCCTGCTCTCGGCGGTCCTGCTCTTCACCATGGTCTTCTTCGTACGTATCCGTGCCAAGCCGCCAACCTCTCTGTCTCTCCCGAGGCCAAGCTGACATCTGCCCTCGCGCAATGTGCCCCTCTCTTGCATCATCCGCAGATCATCATGTTCTCCGACTTGGAATGCGACTACATCAACCCCATCGACCTCTGCAACAAGCTCAACCAGGTATGTTGCCGCCTCAACCATGCTTCCATCCTGTCACCCTCGACGCTGATCACTCTTCCGCTTGGCCGCACTGCCACAGTTCATCCTGCCCGAGATGGCGGCGCACGCGGTGCTCACGCTCTTCTTCCTGCTCAGCGGGCAGTGGGTTGCGTTCCTGCTCAACGCGCCGCTCGTCGCATTCAACGTGAACAAGGTCATGAACAAAAACCACACGCTCGACGCCACAGAAATCTTCCGCACGCTCTCGGCGCACAAGAAACAGTGCTTCATCAAGCTCGGCTTCTACCTCGTCAGCTTCTTCTACTACCTCTACAGGATGATCCTCGCGCTCATCGCCGACACCGAGTAGACCCCGCGTCGCCGCGCACCGCCGCCACCTCGCCACCTCCGCCTCCAACACAGCGCGAGCCCATCCTCTCCACATCTTTTTACCCCACTGATTCCGTCTGTATCAAATCTCAATGCGATCGGTCTAAATCCAGTCTCTGCACTTCTGGCCCCGACCCCTGCGAGGCTCGCACGCGCCACTTCTCTGCCAGCTCTCCCACACGCACGGCTGGGGTGGCACACTTGAATTGAATCACACGCAATCGCTACGAACCGGCGACAAGGATCGCATCGCCCGGATTGACGCTGCTGCCGGGCGGCTTGAGGATGGCCTTGATCGACGTGGCGCCCTCAGGTGCCACGACGTCGATCTCCATCTTCATCGCCTCGAGGATCGCCACCTTTTGACCCGGCTCCACCTTGTCGCCCTTCTTTACCAGCACCTTCCACACATTCGCTGCCAGCCCCGACGTGATCGGAATCGCCCCCTCATCTACGCAAGCCGTCATGGATGAATCAGTATCCCTTCTTCTATCTCGTCCCGATTTGCGTTGTGGAGACTTACCGTTTGCGAAATCTTCGAGGGTTGCAGCGTCGGAATCAGTCTGTCCTGCCGCTTTCCGCTTGGCGGCCTCTTCGACCTCGTGCTGCCACTCTGCAAACAGCTTCTCTTCCTTCTGCTCGGCCTTTTGCAGCGACACGGCCTGCTGCTTTCGAAACGCCTCGGTCTCCTCCTGGATCGACGCCAAAAACGCCGACTGTTCCGCCACGTCGAATACCGTCTGGCGCACCTTCCACCTGTACGTGCCCGCATCGAACTCGCGCAGCGCCTGATCGTACGTCGCCTGATCCACCTTTTCGAACTGAATCGTATCAAAGTTCTCAAACAGATACGGCTGCGTCGGCTTGAACCCAGGCTTGTCGCCGAACGTCGACCAGCAAGGCAGCGTTCGTCCCAGCAAAGCATAGCCACCGGGACAGCTCACCGGATAGATGGCAAAACAGCTGCCGCCATGACCGAGCGCACCGGCGGGCGTGGTGAGTCGCGTAGGATTGTACTTCTGACACCGCATGCGCTTGCGCGGGTCCAGCGGAAGCAGGATGGGCGTGCCCATGAAAAAGCCCACCGCCACCGCCAGCTGGCGACATCCCACCACGGCCTCTTCCACCTCGCGCGTGCTCGCGTATCCATTGGCCTCGGCGAGGTACTCGCAGTTGTCCGGCAGATACACCGCCTTGGACCGCACCGTCTCCATGTACTTTTGAATCGAAAGCTTCACCTCCGGATCCTCAAACGTCACGGGCAGCGTAAACTCGCGCGTCGGGATCTTGACCTCGCGTGCCGACGGGATCTGCGTCTCGAGCTCCACCAACCACTCGACCAGCGCATCCAGATCATCCACCTTGGTCGGGTCGATCTGGATCGTCACACTGCGCAGGTTCGGATTGAGATCCACAATCCCGCGGCTCGCCTTGGTCTTGGTCAGCTCGCGCACGAGCAGCTCGATGCGGCATCGATTGATGATGTCCGCCGTCATGTCGCCGTACTCCATGACCACGAACCGGTCTCCTGCCGACCGGATCTGCACCTTGGGTCGCTCGCCCGCCACCTCGTCGATGCTCGCGAGGATCGACTTGGACGCACCGTAGTCGGCCTGCGCATACACCGGTGCATCGACCGCCATCTCGAGCGGCTCGACACCATCGCTGCTCTGCGTCTCGACAGCCTTGTGCACCTGCGAGAGGTACCGAGCGATGCGACGCGCCACCTCCCGCGCCTGCGCATACGTCACCGCCACAAAGTGCAGCGTGTCGCTCGGCTTCATCTGTCCATCGCGCCACTCGCTCGCCACGACCGTGTTGGAGATGAGCAGACCGCCCAGGTCCGGTCCGTCGCGGCCGAGGATGACGGGCACGTCGCCGTTCATGTTGATGCCGCGCGACGAGTAGCCAAACTCGAGCACGTTGCTCGGATGCGAGCCGCCCTCGCCGCCATCCTTGCGCGCCCACTTGTAGCGCGCGCCCTCGAGCCGGATGCCTGTGCGACTCGCCTGGTGCGACACCTTCCACGACCCGCCGTACAGCTTCTGCCGATCCTCGGCCGTCAGGAATCCGTCGTCGTCAAACGGTCCGGTCATGCACAGCAACGGCCATCCCTTTTCGCCATTGCTCTCGTCGAACAGCCGGCTCAGACGAGCCGCCTTGGGCAGCGAGTAGCTCGCCACCTTGCCGCTCGCGGCCACCTCGCTCGCGGCCGCGTCAAGCTCGAGTGTGTCACCGGCAAGCAGCGCGCGGCCCTGGTAGCCGCCGAATCCGAGCGACGGGCAGGTCGACTTGGAGTTGAGGTACACCGGCACCTCGGGCAGTCCGCCGCGAATGCCCAAGTACGAGCGACATCCCGCTGCACCCTGCGCGACCTTGGTGATCTTGAGCTTGCCGCCGGCGGGCACTACGAAGCGCGTGTACGCATCGACAGGCTTACCGTCGAGCGACATCTTCATCTCGGCGCCGGCGAGCGCAACGATGGCAGGCGCGTGGAAGAGCAGCTCAGGCCCGGCCAGGGTGATCTCAAGTGCCTCGGTCGCAGGCGGGTTGCCGACGAGCAGGTTGGCGATCTGGAGCGAGAGAGGGTCCATGGCGCCAGCCTCGGGCACTCCGTGTCCGACACCCTTGCGGCCGTGCTGGTCCTGAACCGTGGTGCTGATGCCGCCCGAGATAACCTCGATGGCGCACGGGCGGTAGCGGAATCCCGAGGCGGGCGTGAGGAACGAGGTGAGCGTCGCACCCTGCGCAAACAGCTCCGACTCGACAATCGCGCGCAGCAGGCCCAGGTTCGTCGGCGTGCCCTGCACCTTGGAGCTGCCGAGCAGCGTGCGTGCGTCGCGGATGGCCGCCTCGCGCGATTCGCCCCACACGCACATCTTGGAGAGCATGGGATCGTACGACGCCGACACGGTGGTTCCGCTGGCAACCCAGCCGTCGATGCGTGCATTTCGCACCTGGTCCGTCGCATACTCGACGTGCTGCAGCAAACCGGGCGTAGGGGCATAGTCGCGGATCGGGTTCTCGGCATACAGACGCGCCTCGATCGCCGCGC